ACCTCTAGAGTTTTATCTCTGACAATTGTTTGAAATTCTTTAACCAAGGCTTTATCAACACCTTGTGCTTCGGTTTTAATTTCAAAATCCTTTAATTTCATTTCACCCTGTAGTAAATAAAATCACTATAGTCAAACACATCATTTAATCATTGAAGTCCTCAATTTAAATTGAAAATTTGAGTTAACCTGTATATAAACATCAAATATGCGTCTTCCTAATTTTTGAAACGATCTATTATCTCTAATAACTATCTCTGCAAAGTGAAGTTTCACAATATAGTTTCCATTTGCCAAACAGCGCCCGTAATACGTTAGAGATAATGGTGACAAACGAGCAGTCTTGTATATTTCAGAGTCTTTTACATTGATGACAGATATATTTGTTGCGGTATAGTCATTCGCTGTTGAATCTATACCCCAAGACGAAAAGTACCCTGTATTACTAGCTACCCAGTTCTCTCTGTTGGAAACATATTTGGCAGGGCCAACAGAATCTTTATCTGCCTCATATGTAGTGTTACCAATCGAAACATTTCCTCCACCACAATTGATGTGAAATGAATACCAATCTGCAGTAAAATGAAAAAACAAACTAGACATCATCCATACACGGAACATTAAAGAGTATTGCTTGTCATTGCCTCCACCGCAATTGATGTGAAATGAATACCAGTCTGCAGAATAATGAAACAACAACCTAGCTAGACATTAACCATACAGCGTTTCTGCTTATCAATTGCAACCATTGTGAAAGATGCATATACTGAAAGTATTGTGATGTGATTACCTTTAGAGCAATTCTTTAGACACTTCCCAATTTCTCTATGCAAAAGGGGATGAAGTCAGAAACCTTTCGAGATTAAATCGCATTATGAGTGTCAACATAATATTCATGGTTTGTTAGAGGATATATGTTAAAATTAACTTACTCATTATCTCTGCCCCCGTTATTGCTTTTGAACAAGTTTCTGCTGGGAAAATGAGAAAGCTAAAAGCCTAAAATGATCCATAGTTGAAGGAAGACTTGAAACAGTAGATGCTTATAAGAGACAGAATCTTACAGGTTTTTCCGATTGCAAATTGGCGACATGGAACTCTCCTCAAAATTATTGTAAGAAAGATCTATGTAACTGCATATTGCATGGTCGTTTAAATTCTATTAGTGTTTTTTTTTTTTTTTTTTTTTTATTACGAGTAGTTGAAAAGAGCTCGTATAATACTAAAAATTAAATTATAACTCTGATAAAACTCATCACAAGACTAAACTTACTACCTGGAGTTTAGATTTAGAACCCATTCAGGAATTTTCCCACTAAGGGAATTGTTCGTTAGAAACCTAAGAACAAATAGAACAAAATTCAATTTAGTAATATTGAATTCGCACACAAGAAAAATAGAGAAGTTATCCTCACAAAGATAACTAGAATGCTGATTAGATTTCTATTAGAACAAAATGCCCAAATATAAAGGAAGTTACTTATGCAAAATCATTAACATTAAAATTGATTTATTACTCACAAGTACTGCATTTTCTCATCAAGCTCAAGCTCTTTAAGCCCTTGAAGCCCTTGAAGACCTTGAAGACCCTGAAGACCACTAATCCCTCCTTCGAGATTATTAAAGCTCAAATCTCTGCAAACTCAATATCATAACAAAACAGGTAAGCAGAGAAGTATATCAACTTAAGAATTCTAATATATGATAGGGAAAATTGTAAAAAATGCCCATCTATAATATGCCAATTATCAATGTCACCCCTGAATTATGAGTGGTGTAAATGTTGCCCCTCAATTATCAAAACGGTGCACATATAGCCCCTCCCGTAACGGACATGTGGTTCCCCGTTAGTGTACGACACCGTTAAGTCGGAGTAAATATATAATTTAATTGTTTTTTCCCTCCCTCGATTCGAAGTACCAGCGAGGGACAGTGGTGGGAAACCACAGGTCCATTACGGAAGGGGCTATATGTGCACCATTTTGATAATTGAGGGGCAACATTTACAACACTCATAATTCATGGGTGACATTGATAATTGGCATATTATAGAGGGACATTTTTTACAATTTTCCCTATATGATATTAATAAGTTGAGGAAGCAGAACATGGAATTATAATCCTCTAATAAAAAATAACAGAATTACACTAACGAAAAAAATTCTCAAATAATTATTGGATAATTTATTTATTGACATGATTTTTCAGTACAATAACCAAACTTCAACTATATTCAATCCCTAAGATATGGAAAAAAAGAATCAATTTCCTCACAAAAGTAGTTCAGAAATGTAGTTACTGACATCAGTCCCAAGTTTGTCATATGATGTAAATCTGGTAAATTCCCAGAAATGTTACACCTACTCAACATCCTGCACCAAAAATTATTTTTTGCATAAATAACTTCACTTCATAGTGGAATTATGAAACTTAAGTTCATATTTTTGAAAAGAAAATGCATTACTCACAACACTGTCATGTTTGTCATCTCATTTAATGTTGGAAAACTCGAGACACCTCCATTTAGGTCACTGATTCTACTGCAAGTTTGTGTTGTTGATAATTATATTTTAGTTCGTTAATCTTGACCGTAGAAAATGGAAATCTTAACTCACAGTATCTCCAAGCCTGTCGGTACAAAGTTATTTTCAGGTATGGGTCCTTCAAAACCACTTGCTTCAAGATCTCTGCCAATCATATATGCTTCTCATTAAAAAAATGATTTCATCCATAAATTTCAGTTATGAAGTTTTAGATAGGAATGCTTACAGCCAAAGAAGGCTTTTCAAATGTTGAAAGCTAGGCAATTTCCCAGCGAAGTTATTATTGCTGAGGCTACTGTATTGATTTCCCCGGCCAGGACAGATGACAAGTCAACATAAAGTATAGAAGAACAACAAATTAAAGAGGTGAATATACATGCATGATGCACTTACAGCTCAGTCAAATTTGTGAGAGCATTAAGTTCTTTTGGCAGTTCACCTGTGAGAGTATTACCACTAAGATAGCTACAGACAGCAAAAACAGAGAGAGCATCAAATAAGCGATAACAAAAATTTAAAATTTAACCAATATTATATTCAGCCAGTGATGAGAATGATTAACAAAAGCTTACAGATACTTTAAGTTGGCTAGATTCCCAAGCTCTGGTGGAACAGTTCCATTGAACATATTGTCCCTCAAGCTTCTGTAATTTCATTTGTTGTTACAACAAAACCCAAACAATAAGTTCCTCATATAAAGTTAACAACAGTTTTACTTGTGCAAGTAGAGTGAAAGGAGCAAGGGAACATACAATAGTACAAGAGTTGTTATATTTCCTAAGTATTTTGGAATCGGCCCAGACAATCGATTCGCACCAACAGAGCTGCAAAATTTCATAACTTTAGCATGCATGGAAGAGCAGATGGCTTAAACCTGTATAGCATAGGTTATAATACACAACACAACTTACATATTTTCCAACTTGGTAGAAGCCCATTCAAGGGGAATTGAACCACTTACGTAGTTGCGCCTCAGATCACTACAGTAAATAATACTATTAATCAAGCAAAAAATATATACATATATATATATATATATGCCAATAAGTAGAGCAGATTATGGCTTATGCATATAGAAAGTGTCTTGTTACATTTTCTTGAGAAAGGGTAACTTCACCAAGGAAGGAGGGAGGACACCTTGTAGATCCTGTCCAATTAAAACTCTGTTTACAAACAAAAAATAGAGACTATTATGTATGTAAGACTTTACTAACAACATATTGAAATCAATCATTTCTTGTAGAATAATCACTTTATTTCCTACACCATACCCGTCATGGAGATCGAATCATTGTTCTCTAGGGGTGATTTTTTAAAAAATATATATATTTCTTTCATCTAATTATTAGTGAGAAACTCTCAAGCATTTCCTATTCCAAAAGTGTGTATAATGAGTGCCCAACTATTGTGATTCATGGTTAAGAGTAAAATGAGACTTCATTTAATTTAAGGGTCAGTTTGGAAAGCAAGAAAATGACTTCTGGATCCCGATCAAAGAGAAAAGGTAATTGACTTCTTGAATATATGACAAGTGGAACCACGGCGAAGAGATACCGTTCAATGAATCAGATAAATTCTTGTCACGAGCTGGACTTGAACCAGCGAACTACCTCACCTTTCATTCTGATCGTGACTTTAAAAAAGGTAGAAATGGAATAGAGAGTTGGCGCGGTTTAACGGATTGCTTGCTTACCAAGCGATCCTGGCCGAACTCGCCAAAAAAATAACAATAGAAGAAGTTGTTCTTGCCGTAAGAGTAGCCCCGAAGACATCTTTCACTATTGGAAATTATGGAATTTCCGACCACCTGAAAGTGATCTTAAATCAAGTTGATACCAAAAAGTGGTCGGAAATAGCAATAAAGGTTTTTTCGGATACCAAAAGTGGTCGGAACAAGGCTTTCGACTTGATTTAAGATCACATTCAGGTGGTCGGAAATTTCATAATTTTCAGTAGTGTTTATCTGAGGAGGGGGCTTTGTCCTAATACATAAATGATGTTAGGATCGGCCAGCTCATCCTCGAAATTACTCGTTTTCCATAAAACATTTTTCTTTCTAGCGTTCAACAGAAAACTGTCTTCGTATATTTAGTTCACTTTCCAAAAAATGAGTAGGAAAATGAGCAGAATTGTATACTTCAAAGCAAGGTTATTTTCGTCAACATATCCTGGCAAATTCTACTCCATATTAGCATTATTATAATTCACAAACAAAATAGGGGAAAAATTCTTAAACAAAATTCACCACTGGTGTTTCTGCAAACAAGAGATCTGGTGGAGACTGTGATCTATAAAGTGGCAATAGAAAATGATTTTGTGAGACTGTGATGGTCATTCGAAGAACTGGATGGGGCAAAGAGAGTAGGATAGAAGGAAGAGCTTACATGCTTTGTACATGGCAAATACCACCAGGGAAACTACAATTGCAAGTGAGAGTATTAGTGTAGTACAGAGTCATATGTGGTGTCATCCAGTTAGAGTTGTTGTCACAAGGATTTAGTGTAAAATCCCAATCCTTCTTCTCCATTTCTTCAGCTATTTCCTTAAGTGCGTTCACTTCGAAATGCATGAAGCAAAAGCTTGGTGTTAATAAATATGTAATTTGAATGTTAGAGAAAATTAGAGAAAATTCCTTCATAACCACCAAGAAAACAACAGATCAGAGAGTTGAGGGGTTAATGACTACTGAGTGAGTATTAGAGAAAATTCCTTCAATTCATAACCACCAAGAAAACAACAGATCAAAGAGCTAATTAAGGGGGCTCACATTCATCTGGAGGAAGATGCCCACTCTGTGCTTCAACAAATGTTGCATTATTGAAGGAGAGTAGTATAATTGGTATGAAGATTATGAACATGGCCGCTGACATGGCTGAGTTCTGGCTGGGGAAGATCAGCTGCGATGAGTGTGTTATTTAATACATTTGCTCTGATCTGCATAATAAATAAAGATAGAATAGATTGAAAGAATTGAAGAAAACAGCACTTGCAATCGTTATGCGTTGGACCCGTGTCCAGCATGCATGTTGGACACGGGTAACAATGCCGTTAGGCACTGTTATCTTTTTTTTTTTTTTTTTAATTTCAGACCTCTTCGTATATGTTCATAATTTTATTACTATATGTTAATAACTGTACATTCATAACTCCATAATTGTACATTCATAACTCCATAACTGTACATTCATAACTCCATAACTGTACATTCATAATTTTCGAAGCTCTATGTTCACAATTTTAGAGCTCTATGTTCATAATTTTATCACTATATGTTCATAATTGTAAGTTCATAATGTCAGAGCTCTTTGTTTATAATTCGATCAATAACTGTACATTCATAATTCCATAACTGTAGATTCATAAACTCATAACTGTAGATTCATAACTCCATAACTGTAGATTCATAACTCTATAACTGTACATTCATAACTCCATAACTGTACATTCATAATCTTCGAAGCTCTATATTCACAATTTTAAAGCTCCATGTTAATAAATTTTATCACTATATGTTCATAATTGTAAGTTCATAATGTTAGAGCTCTGTGTTCATAATTTCATAATTGCATAACTGTACATTCATAACGGCATAACTGTACATTCATAATCCAAAAAAAAAAAAAATAACGCCGTTAACGGCAAAACACGCACGATTTTTTATTTTTTTAACTAAATGACGCGTTTTTTTTTTAAAACGACGTCGTTTTGGGCCCGTGTCCACAATTATTGTGGACACGGGTCCAGGGCATAATTTTGAGCATATATGAGTCAATGAAATCTGTGCAAGTGGACCCAAAAATCATGACATATATATGGCCTTATTGTTTGGTTAAAGAATATGAGTTTTGACGGCAAATTATGCTGTGCATCCGTATGCACCATGCATGGTGCATACGGATGCAAAAACGACGTCGTTTTAATAAAACGCGCGTCTCCCCTTAAAAAAAAAAATCAGGTTCGATTCCCAGCAACAACAGATGAACTATATTTCCATAATCGATAAACTATATTTCCATAATCGATGAACTATATTTCCATAATCGATGAACTATATTTCCATAATCTAATCTATGAACTAAAAATTCCAGAATGAATGAACTAAAATTCCATAATCTATAAACTAAAATTTCAGAATCGATGAACTACAATTCCATAATCGATGAACTATAATTCCATAATCAATGAACTATAATTCCATAATCTATGAACTAAAATTCCAGAATGAATGAACAATATAATGTTGTTGCTGGGAATCGAACCTGAATTTTTTTTAAAGGGGAGACGCGCGTTTTTTAATAAAACGACGTCGTTTTGGCATCCGTATGCACCATGCATGGTGCATACGGATGCACAGCATAACGATTGAGTTTTGACTATTGAGCAAGATACAATCTTAAACCCGCGGCCCGCGGGGAATGATTTTTAATATACTTAAAAGCCATTTTTAATATACTTAAAAGCCATTTTGATTTGTTTAACCATCATTAGTTGTTTGATTTGGTTAAACAACTAATATGAGTGTTTGATTAATTAACTTTTTGTAACGGTTTATTATTCTAAAACGCTAAAATTTAAAGTAGTTTTTTGAGAAAATCATTTTGCATGTAATCAACTATTAGCTTACAACTAATTTATCAAATATATTTCTACAATCTGCAAATGCTATCATCTAGTCAAACTCACTAACTCAATCAGCTAATAACTATTTACCAAACACCCCCTTAGTGATTCTTGTGCCATTATTATATTTTGTTCTAAACTTTAGAAGTAGTAATTATATTTTGTCTCATGATGATATAACATAACTTAAAAAACAAAAAAGTCGCCAGTGATTTAAATCTTCTCAAATACTCTTTCGGGTTGGGGTGTGGGGAACCCTTAGGGTTGAGGATTCAACCTTTTGGAAGAAGTTCAATTATGTTTATTGTATATATTTGTATATGTTGTGTATAAATGTGTTTTAATTAGGAAGCGGCCGGAGATTAAGATTATGAAATACAAGACTTTTAAGCATAAGCTTAACTAAGTTAATTTCATGCCCATATATATATATATATATATATATATATATATATATATATATATTAAGTGATAAGGGAAATTTACATCCATTATCTAATAGTAGGTGTATTAAGTAACTACAAAAATGTAAATCGTTTATAGTTAACTGGCTCAAGCAACAAATATAAATAGCTGAATATTTTATACTCCGTACTGAGTAAATTTCTTGGAATATAAGTTTAGATGAATATGGCTCCAAGTCTTCCAAGTCAACAAATAAAAGAGTTCTACTACATGAACTCCCAAATTCTACTCCCTGATGTGGTAAGTTAGGATTGGTTATTTTCAACATATGGGTCCACAGAAAAATGTCTATATCAAAAACATGTAAGAGGGAGTACAAGTTGAGAGTATAAAATGAGAGTACACCAAGTATTTTTCCAAATAAAAAATTCATTGTTTTCAACCTTTCTTTACTTCCCAATAACCAATGAATACATTTCATGATTTCAATCTGCATGCCAGACGTGCATGAACAATGAAATTAAAGTAAAGTGGACTATAATTACTTCCCATCTTATTCATTAAAATGTACCACGAAATATTATTATTGTTACTATTTTGATACAAACGATGCGAGACTCCCAAAAACACTAACTAGCTAGAGGCGAAATTAGAAGTTTTCTTTAGAGAATTAAGAGCCAAGCACATTGTGCTTAGATGACACCTCTGTGACTCCCCTTGAGATAAGGTCACAGGATAGAGTCAATAGTATTAAAAAAAAAAAAGTGAAGAAAATTGATTTCATTTTTTTTTCTTTTTTGGGTGAAACCTGCTACAATTATCTAAAGGTACGCATAGGAAAGATCATATGACGAGTTTAATTGATAAAGTGTTAGCCAGAAATGAACTTGTAACTTTTAAATATGATGTCACACCTATGTACTAGGCCACCCCTTGTAAATTCCATACATTTTCAGGTTTGAATGTTATGAGGCAGCAAATTAAGGTCAATGGTGGTTTCCCAAGATACTTCCTTGTAAAGAAATACTCGGTAGCAAATAATTTTGAATTTAATTTGGAGATCTCAAGTGTGAAACAATGACAAAGAATCAGAATGTTATGAGGCAGCAAATTAAAGTCAATGGTGGTTTCCCAAGATACTTCCTTGTAAAGAAATACTCGGTAGCAAATAATTTTGAATTTAATTTGGAGATCTCAAGTGTGAAACAATGACAAAGAACCATATAAGACATGTGAAAAAACCAAATCTAAGACGTGTGGAAAAACCAAGTCTAATACATGTGGAACGACCAAGGGACATGCTGCATAAGTCTTACTCTTCGTTGGTATAGTCTTCAATATTGAAGTTCCTAAAAGAAAAAAAAAAAGAAGCTTCTATTAATAACACATATGGTATTATTGTTCCATGCATAAAGATATTTCAATATCTTTTTAAATAATATAATTGGGAAAAGAGTTAAATTGACTATTGAACTTTATATGAAAAAGTAATTAGGTCATGATGAACTTTAAAAATTTGTAATTTGTTTTTTAAATGCTACTGACTCTTCAACCTAATGAAGCACAAAGAGTCAATAACACCTCCACTGAGTCTCAATCTCATGACCTCCCACATGAAAGAGATCACTATACATGCCATTTAAGCACAAGATGCTTGGCTTAAAAATTTGTAATTAAATACATCAAATTTTCATTTTTGTGCATCTAGTCTCAATAGCCTATTATCTACCAATAATAACCGGTAATTAAGGTTTCGGTGACCAAATTCAGTGACCGGGGACTATGGAATGATTGTTGGTCGCCATAACGACCCTAATTGCCGGTAGATAGTACGATTAGGTTTAGATGCACAAAAATAATAACTTTTAAAAATTTAAGAGGCTAATTATTCTTATGTATAAAGTTTAAAGTTCTATTTGATCATTTTCCCAATATAATTTAATAAGAAGCCATGCTAGAGGTAGCTAGTCTATTTGATTATTTTGATTTCTCTTATTTATCATAAATCTACTTTAGAGTGGGGTTTTATTTTATTTATTTATTTAATTTTTTTGTTGTGCAATGGAAGGGGCCTAGAGCCCCTGATAAGTAATTCTCCGAGTAGTAACCCACTAACCCCTCTAGTGTCCGCATGGAGAAGTTCCGTTAACCAATCTGGTGGAGCATTCAAAATGGTAGTCCTCCAATTGCTACTTAGCCTTCACCCAAAATTGACTAGTCTATCAGCACACTTGTTGCCCTCCCTTCAAACAGGAATAATCGTCGCTCTCCCCAAACTCTCAATTAGATTCCGACACTCCGAACCCATGATGTCCAGATCAGGATATGGCTGTCTATCACCTGTCATGGCTTTGACCATAGCTTAATCCAACGAAAAATGCTATATGTACTCCCATGGAGTATAAACTCCCGCCACTTGTACCAATAAATTCAAGTGAATGAAGAAAAACAGTGGTCCACTTTGTTATTTAAACCAATCAAATAATGACACTTCAGCAGGGAGTACAAAATGGAGTAGAAAGTGGGAGTAC